GTAGGCAGAGGTAACTTATGATAGCGTTTTATGTGTTATAGGAGGAGACTGGGTTCAGCAGCCTAGCACAAACGCCGTTCCCCAAGAAGACGTTTGAATTGAATTGTGTGCATATGTGATTATTTATCAGCTATCTCTGATTGTTATGCTGTTGTTTATATGGTTAGATACTTTATTCATTTAATTATTCTGAAGAAATAAGCTACAGGAGAAATAATTTTGGATCGTTTTCCTGCTGTTTGTGTTTAGCAGCTGTGTCGGATTCAATGCTGCTGTTATTTCATGTCGATACAGTTCTTCTGTCATTCTGAATGTATAAGAAACAGTTAAATAATTTTGGACAGTTCTCTGCCCGCCGTGCTGGGTGAATAAATGGAGAGAGAAACAGACCCTCCAAAGATATAACTCCGTTTCAGTCTTTTTGTGTATTGAACGTTCAAAAGAGGTAAATTAAGTTAGGCTTACTGCCAAGGTGTATGTCTTTGTCCGCTTCAGCACTGAGCTGAGGACAGCGACACAAGAGCCACACAGGTGTCCTCAATGCCGCAGAAAAGCACTGAAACGGAGATGAAGGGGAACCCGTTTTTTTTGGCTTATTTTAACTGGCCCATCCAATTTTCTGGAGGCCCACCCACAATCAAAATCCTGGCGCCACTAGTGACCTGAAGTGGTGGAAAACGATGTAGAAAATGTGATGGAAATGTGTTTGTTTGTTTCATGTAGTAATTTGAGGAAATTAAAAGTCTCCTCATTTCTGCCACAATTTCTCATCTCTCCAGTCGAAGACTAAGTGCCAAATAAGTCAAATTAATCATGTACGTCATGATTAAACGCTCAGTCTGCTTCCATTGCACTTAGTTTCATTTTGTTTTTATCAATACATATTATACACCTGAGCCAAATAATGCATATTAATTAAGCAATAAAAGGCTTCTCAAAAGACGAAAAAGTAAATGCAGTTACATGTAATGCAGTTACATGTAATACCGTTACATGTAATACCATGGTATAATTAGTGGTGGTAATACCAGGCACAGCGGTAGCACTTCAGGACAAATGTTATACAGGGCACCCATTAAAACTTTCATTTTAATTTGTATGGCGTGGGTGGAAAACATCGCTGAAATATTAACTTGTTTAAAGCGAGGGTGTCATGCAACTATCACTTGAAGGAACAAAAAAAAAAATCCGATATGGAGATATAAGATACGCCGAGCAAAAAGTTCCCAATATGTGTATAACACACTTTATCTGCAAACGGAAAGATAGTTCAAAACAGCTAGAGGTCTCGCCAAGTTCCACAGAGACATTGTGTAATCATATTTAATGTGCCTTATCTTGAACTATTTTAAGAAGAGAATTGATACCCTCAATTGCATGACTATATTGAGGCTGACGGATTCTTAAATGTGACTATTGCCTGATTGTGCAGAGACAAGATGACTGAAAGTGGAGGGAAGATTAGTAAGTGTTGACTGGGAATTCTTCCATGGTCATAGTGTAAGTGCTGAAATAGACGGATGCAAATGGACTGCAGAGCCAACAGTCAAGCGCGTCTTTGTATGAATAAGGAGCAAGAAAAAGTTGAGTGAAAAATATCCAAGGTCTTAGATGAGCCTGAAAAGATGCAGAACTTCTTCCTCTTTAGGGGTTTTCCCCAAGCTTGCTTAAAAAAAAAATCCCCCCACCCTCTTGGTTTGAAATGCAAAGTTAACAGTTTTACTCAGCCCCCCAAGGCTTGTATAGTCTCTCCTAATCTTTTTTAATGTGTCAAAAGGCTTTCTTGAGAGTCTCTGTGAAATTTCACACTTAAGTTGTTTGCAAAGTCAGTCTGAATTACAGTGCAGAGTGAGGGTTCACTTTTCTGAAGGCGTTAGGGAAAACTTTTTTAAAACTGTGTGTTTTGTTTGTGTATGGAGGGGGTGTTAGAGACAACAACACAGTATGCATTCACACTGATGATATATGTTATGTTGGACTTCAAAGTTCCAAACTGTACCATAGGTCTGACCATACAAAAAAGACTGAATCAGTGATAATGTATCTAAATGTAGGTGTGCATGTAAACGAGTCTTCATTAAGTAACATTGTGTGAAAACATTACTGCAAAGTACTTTTGTGTTAATTGTAACACTCTTAAACATTAGCCCTGGGCAATGATTCAGTATTATCTTTTGTCAGCTTTCAGTGGAATTTTATTATTTTGATTTGATCTGATTATTTTCAATAATTTAAATGACTTATTAAAGTAGTATTTAATGTGTGGAGAGTTTTGTCTACAAAACAAAACAGTGGAAGCCGATTATTGCATTGACCTCAATTATTTTTCATACTCCGATATATTCTGGAACAACATATGGAGGTTTCTTGTTATAACAACATACCAAGTTATAATGTTCTAACTAGAAACACTACTTATTTTAACCAAATACACTGCTTTTGTCATGATAATGGGATATGTTTTTAACAAGAAAAGCTTTTTTTTTAAATTGCATAATTTGGTTTGCAGTAATAACGAGAAAATATTTCAGAATTACATGAAATATATTTTGTTATAGCATGAAAGGATCTCCTTAAAACAAGAAACTTTTCATGTAATAATGAGAAACTGAGCAAATATTGTTGTCATGGTGGAAGCAATATCCTGCCATAATAAATCGTTATGGAAACATTTTCTTATAAATAATGTAATATGGATTTTTACCATATCACCCCACCTCTAGTTAAAATATTACCACACAAAGTGAATACAATAAAATTGCTATTTAAAATAATGCATTAATAATGGATTAAACTAAGATATAAAAATCGGAATTATATTTAACTATGGGAGAGGGTGTTTCATCTATCCTAACTGAGGCAATATACTGTCCAATTCAAAATGAATCCTTATTGAATGTGAACACAGGACGGAACGATTTAATAGCCAAATATTGCTCCTGAACAAGAAAGTGACATGATCATTACATATTGTCTGTGTTCTCCCTATCAATCTCGTCACTTAGTAGTCAAGATTTAATGTCAGACCACACTCATTAGCATTGACAGGTCAAAGGCATGCAGCTACTAAAACGATGGCTTTAATATGAAAATCCTCTCCACTACACAGACATTTTGTTCAGATTGTACGCATTTGATTAGTTTCATCACCCTCAGAAAGGGATGAATCCATTCTCTTAATGTAATTTGTGGAAAATGTACCATGACAGTGTAATTATTTTGAGGGGGCCAATTTGCATTTCCAGTGCTCTGCTAACTAAATGCTACTGTAGGTTCTAAGGCCTTAAAGATAAATTAATAATCTAGAGTATTTAAAACCCATGAAACATTTAAATTAAGTAATTTCACTTCCTGAAGGGCATACTGGAGATTTTTCCATACATATGCAGAGAGACACACTTTTTAAATAAACATCAGCACTAATCACTGAGCCTGAAATCAGAGTGAGAGCAGAAAATATTTTCTGGAGCTTTTAATGGTTCCTTAGGGGCTCCCCTCTGACTTAGATTAGATGGGATTTAGACAAAGTTGATGCATGCACCTCTTTTACCAAAACTTGGAATTTTTTGAAATGTCAGTACATTATTAGGATCACAGACTGAATTTTTCTGAATACTTTTACACTGATAGAATTACAGCACGAGTGTGTTTTATTCAATTTAAGCAAGGAATTACAAAGGAGTGCAGCAGTGCAGCAAAACAGCTATTTGGGGCATTGCTGTGCAGCAGGCTTTGATCAACTTTTAAGAGAAATCGATTGGAATTGTTGCTCTGCCCCAATTTGGAAGACATCTCATCAAACTGAGTTGCAAAGGGTCTAAAGACTACAAGTGTTCATTTTTGTTCCCCTAGTGCTGCAAATTTAGTAATTGACTCTGATTTTTGGCTTCAGGCAGTAACCTAATAAGGCCATCCAAGGTTAATGATAGACCCTTTTTAGACTGGCTGAACGTCTGACACCGATATGTAGTGGTAGTGAAAAACAATTATTACTTACATGAGAGACACTCAGGGCAGAAGGCTCTGACATCTGAGTGAAACGTTGTTATTCTGTGTGTTATTCGCTGATATATTTTGTCATAGTTTTGTCATAGCATCAAATGCCACAGTTGTTCAGACGGTGAGTATCCCAGCAGTGGATTGTGTTGCTGCTTTGCAGCCGTCTCTTCCCAGGAACACTAGCACCACAAATCTCAGTGATTTAACATCTTTCCCGTCCAAACAGCTGGAGTCAGCACAAGTGTCATGTGCCATTGCCAATCCGCTGTCATGGCGTCCTCTGCCAAACAATTTATTGCTTCCCTTCCTGCTTTATTAGCCATAGATTATGGGTGGTCGTGGACAGTGTAGAGCCTCTGCTGTCGAGGTAGCCTTGTAATTGACTCTGGGGAGGCAGGGTGGATAATCATTTGAGTGTAAACCGCAGTATCAGTAAACAGCAATTGAATACAACAGTTGTAGTTCCACCATCCAGCAGGATTTCATTTAATTTCATTTAGTTATCCGTTTTTCAGTTTGTCCTGTTCCTGTTACTTGTTAGTTACAAAGCTTTTTAGCTATGCTAGCATCATGTCTGTCGATCAACTGATTGATGGATTTCCATGACATTTTTTTACACACATTCATGGTGCCCAGTGGATGAATCCTACTGATTTTGCTGATACATTGACTTTTCAAGTTTTTTTTTTTTTTTTTTTTTTGTGGTATAACTTTTAGATGAATTTCATGAATTTTAAATCCCCATTCGTTCATCCTTCCAACTTTTCATGTAGCACCATCATCAGGTCAAAATTTTATGCCAAACTAAAATGGTAAAATCATACCTGCTTAATGCAACATGACAACATTGCCATTGTGAGCATATTGATGGTAGCATTTTAAATGTATTTTTAGATTAGTAGTCAACCGTTTAAAATTCATAGCTTCCATTTCCAGCCCATACCCTTCAGTGTGTCTTACATTGAGCAGTGTAATTAAGTCTTTTTTTGTGTGTTTTTCAGAATTCTGGATCCTCGGCAGCCTCCACCCCCAGTGCTCCAGTGACTGGGTACAAGCGTATGGTCATTCCAACCCAGCCACCTCTGACTGCCACTAAGAAGTCTACGCCCAAACCTCAGGCTCCTGGGGGAGTCTCGTCCATCCCCCCGTCCTCTGTAAGCCCGGTGGCCAAGCCTCAAAGCCACATAGCTCCTCAGCCTGTCCCAGCTTCTTACGCTACAGCCTCAACCCCAAGCCAGCCCACCTTCAATGTCCAGGTGAGGTCGGCCCAGCCTGGTCCACAGCATCAAGCCCCAGGTGGGCACCATTTTGGCCAGCAGCCCATTCGTAGCCCTGCACAGGTGCAGTACATGCCTGCCCAGCCCAAAGGTCCCGACTTTGCCTATGGGCCACCACAGCCTGGCTTCTCCCCGATGTCTCAGGGTGCATATCAAGAACAGCACCATCCAGGAGTAGGTGGCTTAAGTTCCAGGAGACCTGAGCTGGCCCCCGCCCAAACATACCAACCTCCAGGGCCCAAGAAGACCTACATTACAGATGTACCACCAAGCTTGGCTCCCTACACCTCTGGACCAGCTGTTCCACCAAAGGTAAGACTGTTTATCATACATTCAACACACTCCACCAGTTGTCATCATTTTTAGGTATTGTAAACACAGTTGGGGAAAAATGTGTTTTGAGATTATAGAAGAAAGTTAGTAATTTTGGTTAAGTCAACAATTAGTCACACCATTTATCTATCCATCCTTTCATCCTTGTTATAATTTTCCACTTTTCATACTGTGGATTGGTGGCATTGGGCTAAGCAGCCTAGCCCAGGCATCCTTTTCCCCAGTCATGTCTCCCTCTCTGGAGAATCCTGAGGGGTTCCCAGGCCAGCTGGGATATTAAATCCCTCCAGCATGTTCTAGGTTTGCAATGGTGATTCCTCACAGTTAGATATCCCTGGAATACCTCCAGAGGGAGGAGTCTGCAAGGCGTCCTGATTGGACGCTTGAACCACCTTAACTTGCTCTTGTCAAAATGAAAGGGTAGCAGTCCTTCTTCAAACCTCTCTGGAATATTTGAGCTCCTCTATCTCAAAGGCTGAGCCCAGACACCATGGGAAGAAAACTAATTTTGGCCCCTTACGTTCCAAAATTCTGTCCTTGTTGTATGACAGTAGTTCAGGGTTTGAACATGCATAAGGTAAATAAAGAGCTTCATCTGCATAACTGAAATCACTTAATTAATGCCACTTAACCTTTATTTCTATATGCAATCATATAGAAGTGCACATGCAAGCATGATATTTAAATCTCAAAACAAATGCATTGCATCTGCCTTACCAACACAGGCCAATTAACCTCATTCTCACCAGTGTTCAGTCAACCACATGTTTAACAATACACTTTGTCATATGCCCTTGGGGAAACTCTGGAGTTTGAAGAAGAGAGGGTCAAGAGAAATCTCAATGAGTTTGTCACTGTACCATCAATATACATGCACTTACACAGAATCACAGTCACATCTGTATACATGGCAGCCATTACATGTGTACTGCACTAGTCGAACTCTTCCCCTTCACTGAGATTAAAGATTCATGGTCAATTTTATTGTCATGAACATGATTCTAAGCATGGTAAACTTGGCCTCATGGCCGGGCCTCAGAGTGTTGACCCTCTACATAAGAGACATAAGAGGTCAGCCTGGTGTTGTCAAACTGGTGTTTCAGTTCAAGTCATTCCTTGTCAGTTCATCTTTCTTTGTGGTATCTTTTCAGTTATGTTATTAGAGGTGGGCGATATATATCGTTTGCGATAATATCGTCATTGTTGTTTTGACGATGTGCAAATTTCCATTATCGAGTATTTAAATTACTTAGCCAAAAATATTGAAACGCACGCGGAAACTCCTCACATCCACTTAATACACGGTGCAGTAACTCTCTCTACAGCATGGCAGGATTCAGTCACACGACTAGTGGGCCTACGTGATCACATGACGTGATCACATAACCTCTCGCTAGCATCCTCCTTGCAACAGTTTAGCAGCACGTTGTGATGGTAGAGAGAAAATGCAAGCAACTCCAGTCCCTGAAGCTACCGGTACTTCAGATGATTTAGTGCCGAGACGTGGGTCTACCTCTCTGGCATGGAAATGGTTTAGTTTCGAAAATAACTTTTTTAGCGCAGCGCTCAGAGCACTTCAAGTTGAAATCTGTTCAACTTTTAACACCGCTGGGCGCTCGGAAAATGAGTTTTTGAGCTCTCAGCGCTAAAAACGCGTTTGGTGGACACAAGCCCTATCTCAGACAATTCCAATCACATTTTAAAGGATATCGACTGATTATCGTTATCGCCAAAATCCCCAAAAATAACGAGACATAATTTTTTTTCCCATATCGCCCACCCCTACATGTTATATGCTACTTCATAATGTAGAAATGTTTGTGTGTGTGTGTGTGTGTGTGTGTGTGTGTGTGTGTGTGTGTGTGTGTGTGTGTGTGTGTGTGTGTGTACAGTATGCATACATTTGCGCAGCTTCAGATGGCAATTCACTGGGGCCATCTTTCATTGAAATGCTCAGAATAAACAGTTGTTTTAACCTTTATGAATTTTTGAAAGATCTTCTCTGCTGGGAGTATACACCATCTGATTTCATTCGTCTCAAAAAAGGCAGCTCATATTCGTGTGTGTGTGTGTGTGTGTGTGTGTGTGTGTGTGTGTGTGTGTGTGTGTGTGTGTGTGTGTGTGTGTGTGTGTGTGTGTGTGTGTGTGTGTGTGTGTGTGTGTGTGTGTGTGTGTGTATGTATATATGTATATATACCCACTGTGCATTTTAAACCTAAGCTTATAGCTTTGTGGTGATTTTTATTCTTCATGTAATTATGTTAGGGTGGAATATAGGTAAAAACATGATTCTTTATGTTTTTATGGTCGTTTGTAGTATGTATGTATGTATGTATATGTATATTTATGTGTATGTGTGTATGTATGTGTGTGTGCCCAGCTATAATTTGTTAAGATTAAATAATAGCGTGGGATTTCTCCAAATAGAGCAAAAGTATAAATGGATGAAGAATGTTTTGGCCAGGGACATGCAGCTTTAGTGTCAGTCTTTTAGAACAGTATTATGTATAAAGCCAACAAATGCATGATTATGACCCCTTTTACATGATTCTTGTTTTGAAACAAGTCAGCTGGAAACATTACAAACTCAGCTGGACGCAGCGTTTTCAAATGACTCACGGTGCTAGCATTAGCTTAGTTGGAAAGCTAACAGCTGACAATATCTGCTTGTGACCCCTAACAAAGTCCCCGCATTTATCTGCCCCTGTCTGGTTTCAAATATTACAATCAATTTGAAGTAGGGTGGCCATTCGTCCGGCTTTAGACAGACAGTCCGGTTGTTAAACCCCCTGTCCGGCTGCAGGCGCAGCCTTAAGCCGGACACTCATTTATCCTCCTTTTGAGAAAATAACTAAAAATGACGCCTTTGACACATTACCTCATTAGTTTAATACTTATTGGCTAAAAATGTCTGTCAAAATAAATAATTTCATTGGTTACATTTTCGTGTTGTGACCTGCCAACACATGGCTCATTTTAATATTCAAATGAGCCATGTGTGCTCACTGCAGTTGCTAAGTTACCACCAGGCTGTCAATCAAGCTCTCAGTGACAGAGAAGGTAAGGTGAGCTAACGTCAGTTGTTGGACTGAAATTCTGAAAATGCTCATACTCATATGTAAAGGCAAATCCCTTTATCCCCAGATAAAACATTAAGAACAAATATCTGCTTGCGTGTCCCTGTGTATGCAAAGTGTCCTCCTTTTTGATGTGAAGGAAATGGCCACCCTAATTTGAAGTAGTAAATCTGTCACTGTTATTAGTGTAAACTTCATTATGTGCTTTGTGAGAACAGAAAGTGTGATGGGCGCAGCAACAGTAACTGGGGGGGCAGGCCTTAGTAAACAGTCACTTAGACTGGATTGTCTTCTTATTTTCTATGCTTTGTGCACCAGGGCGATAAATGTTAATTATTTTAATTTTATTTTTTATTTAATAGTACATTTTTAAATTATTTTTTAATAATAATAGTTCATTCTTAGACAGTGTTGTAGGGGTACTATGTCATTCACTCAAAGGAATTAAATACCAACACAAAAAACAACAACACACATTTATGATAAGGTTAAAAAGCATTACATTTTAATCTTGGCAAGAACGGTATGAGACTGTCATAGGCCTGGCCTCAAGCCTTCAAAAGCACTGCAAGATGTTGGATCAACCACTAGTCCTTTTTATAGAACTGTACATATCTGAAAAGAATTACAAAATACTGTTGTCCCTTAGAACAGAGTAGTCAATGCCACAGAGACAGCTATTCTAATCTCAATATATCCAGCCGTCGACAATCTCTGGAAAGTGAAAGGCCCTTGAGTTTTCTTTAATTCAAGGATTTTATGCTAGTTCAAAATACAAACTGGGCCTCCCAGCCTCTGGGAATAGCTCATCAAGGACTATACTTTACTAAATACAAATTAGCTTCAACATTGCAGAGAGTATCTTAAAAATAAGTCTAATTATATTTGTTCGGAACAAAAGTCTACATTTTGCTTGAAAAGCTTGCTTTGGTCCCAGTATGATGCATTATTAAAAAACAAAAGGTGGCGTTTAATAGATTTGTGAGCATCTCTTTGATTTCAGATAAAAGCAAAACACTAATTTTACAGATATAGCGTACACTATATATATTTGTCTCTTTCCCAAGGATATACTGTGGCAGAATAATGGGCTCTGTGCCCTCCCCGTGTGCTTTATTGGAATGCTTTGAAACATATCGGGGAACTTAATGCTCTATATGCGCACACTCAGCTAGATGATGTGCTGTAAATGACTCTGTGGTGTCACATCATATTTGACCCGAGCCCTTCTGCCATACACACACACACAACTTTTGTATCTAAACCTTAGCTCTAATCAGATTTCTTGTTTATTTGTGTCCCATATAGCAGATATTTAATGCCAAAATAAACCAGAGACATTATAAAAGCAAGATTAGACTGAAAGCAAAATCTGTCATCTTTGCCTTTATGATCATCACTCTGCTTGACCCAATGTCGTGAGATGATCATAACATTTTACAAATGGTGTTAAATCTACTTAAAATAAGTCAGTTGTGCCCCTTTTAATCTGTTGTGTAAATAAACCAAAAACATAGTCAATTAAAGGAACTATTTACACATTTGTCATCACTTTTGTTAATGGTGACTTTATGTAATACCCGAGACTTTCTCAGTAGGGGGTCTGTGACTTTGATTGAGGACTTTATTCAAGAGATCATTACACATAATTGAGGGTATTCATAGAAGGTCAGTGTCATTAGAAGTCCAAGATGAACTCCTTGAAAGAAATTCTAAGATTTAGACTTTTTCTGATTAGTTTGGTTGGTCTGCCCCCCACCTCACCCTACATCTCCCACATGCCACCAGCACCCAATCTTCCAATGTGTCCTTACTCACACGTAAAGTGAAGGTGTAAAAACAGCTCCTCACATCAACATGCTCCAAGGACGCTTAATTACCCAAATCCACCAGTGTTTGATC